TCAACAGGCCGTTGCCAGACCGTAGAAAGGTCCTACAGTGGCGGCAAGTCGGGTCTACCGTTGACTTGCGTCTGCTGTAGGGTTTGATGGGTAATGTACCTTTGGAAACAGTTTTTAAGTCAGTTTTTCGGTCATATATTTGCTATAAACACAACACAATACCTATAATTTTTGATGTAAGGTAACTGATAACACAGCAACTTATATTTCACTTGAACTTTTTATTTGATACTATATCCTAACACCCCAGTCACATTTCCTACGGCGACCTTGCGGTCTATCATTTCTGCGGCCAGTAGCTTTTCTACGCTCGCCGCAGAATTTCTGCGCTCTCATACTTTTGCAGTCACATTTCCCACGGCAGCCGCACGGTGAATTTTAAATTTCTATTGATAAATAATAGTTTTTTTTCATTTTATTTACATCAGGACAATTTATAAATGTTATTCAAAGTGCTAGGATGTAATATCAAATGAAAAGTGATCGTGAAACATTGACAAATAATGGTTCAATCTTGTTGAGCCAGTTGATTTCTACGGGGACCTCAGAAATGAACAAATATTATAACTCCGAGTTATAATTTCTACGCCTTCCCTGCGGCCTGTAAAAATCTGTATACGCCGTACGGAGGCCGCAAGGCGAGCGTAGTTTTTCTACGCTCGCCGCAGAAATTTACCGATTTAATTGTTCTGCGGTCGACTTGCGGCCGCCGTGCGACAAATGTGACTGGGGTGTAAATCAACAGAAATTCAAAAACTCGCCGTGCGGCTGCCGTAGGAAATGTGACTGCAAAAGTATCCGGCCGTAGAAATTCCACTTCGAGCGTAGAAATGTTACTGGCCGCAGAAATGATAGGCCGCAATTTTTCAATTTTCAATTTGTTTATTTCATAAACACACATACAATATAGTATACAATGAGTGGGTGACACAAGGGTTTGTGTATATTCCCAAGATGGAGTAATGCGGCCGTAGGAAATGTGACTGGGGTGTTATAACTCCGAGTTATAATTTCTACGGCTATCCTGCAGCCTGTAAAAAAACTTGACACACCGTACGGAGACGGCAAGGCGAGCGCAGTTTTTCTACGCTCGCCGCAGATATTCACTGATTTAATTGATCTGCGGTCGACGCACGGCCTCCGTACGACAAATGTGACTGAGTTGTAATGCACAATAAGCACATCCACCATATGACATGTAAGCTTTGTTGTATTAATAAAAAAGAAAAAAAGTCAATAGACTTAATCCAATTGTAAATTGATATGTTACGTCGTCCCAGATCTACAGTAATTAATTACTTTTTTCATTCTTTCACAATGTAAATATAAATATGAGGACTAGTTTAATCACGACATTGTACGTGTTCAATGATATCGTGATCCCTTTTGTGATATGTTAATTAACTATTTTGTCATACATAGCTAAAATTCGTTAATCAGCATGGATCAGTATTGGATGAAGGTTTTTTTCTTTTTTAAATGCAAGTCAAAATATATAAAAAAAGGGTAATACAAGTCAACGAATTAATGTAAACCATGTTTAATTACCCAATGGTAATTTCAATCAGTCTGTTGTAAAGAGGAAGATGTAATGGGCAACAGAAAGTGGACACTGCTAAACAGACGATTAATTTAATTGCAATTTATCATTTTTGTGAGTGCATCTGAGCATCAATTCAACAAAATTCGGTGCAATACTGCTAAAGTGGTGGTGATGGTATTCATAACTGTGATATTTTTTTCAATTGTGAGTGTTTTCACAAGTTTCACAAGTTTTTATCACACGTCAGATATCACACATACATGAATTAGCACTTTATATCAATAGGAGTTTCTCACAATTAATTATTGTTAATCCAAAACCATGTACAAATCATAACCCAGGATGGTAATATAATACATATCATCAATCAATAATTCCATGCAGATGCCAGAAGGTAGTTACTAGTTTCACCACCAGGTGGCTAATTCTGGCCAAATAACATGGCAGATATAGTAGAAAGCTCCCTTAAACTTGATTACGCAAAATGCGCGAAAATCGCTCCCGCGAATTAATAACATGTGGTCGATGTGACATCTTCCAGACCTAGAAGTCACATTTTCAAAAAGGGGTTTTATGTTGATTAACAATTTTTGAAACTTTTCAAAATGTATTTTTTTTTCAAATATGTATCACTTTAATCTCGTGACCGAATTAAGAAATATAGACCGAATAGCAGGGGTAATATCGTCGAATACACCCCGCAGGGCTAGGCACAAACGTTTTCTGTACCCCAAACGACCGAAGGGGTGTATTCGACGATATTACACCTGCTCTGAGGTCTATATTACGATTCGAACATGAAAACTCAGCAAAATGTTAATTACTACGGTCCGCCGTTATGACGTCACACATTACACATATTACCAGGGGCATTTTCCGCGAATATACACCCCGGGTGAAATGTTGACTTTGTTGACAGTTTATAGAAGGCGTGAATACAGTCATGTTCGAATTTTGAATATTTTATGACGTTAATCAAGTTTACCTATACTTGCATCTTGCGGATTATTTTTCCAGATTTAGGATATTGTTCATTATCCTACACTTAGTGTACTAAATGTATAATACCATTAAAAAATAAATTTGATATTTATTAGCAAAATGAATAACCTGAGGATATTGTGATGATATACTCCGGGCGGAGGATATCGTGACGATATACTCCGGAAAACCCAATATGTGGAGGATATTGTGACGATATACTCCGCTTGTTGATTTCCCGCCAAATTGACTCTATTTGGCATGAAATTAATTTTGCAATGATATTATACATTTAGTACACTCCTTGTAAGTGTAGGATAATAAGAACATCCTATGATTTTTTTTCAGAATATCATTTTAATCTACTCGGTGATATTGATATATGCACTCGCTCGCTTTTTCTCTCTCGTGCAGATATCAATATCACCTCGTAGATAAAAACGATATTCCTCAAAATCATAGGATATCCTATAATTTTCCCGCTACAGTGTCTATTCCGAGATAACGCTTTAGGAGTTCGACACGTTAACCACCAAAGCATCGATATCTTACATAGTGAATGTCGTTTTTTCTACCCATGGTGCTACATAACAACGTTTTTTGAGAGCAGTTCTTCAGTAATCCATTCTTTATTTTTCCCATTTATTTTACCAATATTTCTGCTAAAGTTTCCAGTGAGGAATATGGTTTCGTTTCCTATTTTGTGTAATTAAGTTTCGTTTATCTAAGAGGATTTTAAGAGGAGTCAATCGATTAATATGTAACATTTCGTGAGTAATCACTAAAAGCATCTCTCTCAGGGAATCTCTGCAGCAAAATATTCAATTAGCCTGATTATAAACAGTGTGCATTATTTCCGAGCAACATCCGACCACCTGCATGGCTTTTCTGTCCAGATAAAGATGTCATGCGACCTAACATGGCTTTGTGTTCTATTTTCTTCTGCGTTTTACCACCGAATACTAGATAAATAACTGATGTTTCCCGATTCAGTAAAAGATCGACTGGTAACAGTTGATGCAAAACGTCGCAAATATCATACTCTATCGAGTCTTATTAGTAATAACAATTACCATTAGCTATATAACCCAAACTCATCTTATTACCATGTTGAAATCATGTATAATAGCTTTTGGCCTATAAAGCGTCCCATTATAATTCCTCAGTTAAAGATATGATCAACATATAGCTTTATTGCATGCTTTCCTTGTCCATGTCGCCAGTCGTTTTATTTGATTTAGCGTCATCTAGCTCCTGTTCAAATTCACTGTCATTCAGTTTTAAGTCATGCGCATAAAGTTTGTGAATAATTTTTATTCTCTTCCTGATCAAAATATCCCCCTGAACCTACCATCTCATGACTTTAGGCATTTATCTTGCACGAAGTCCTATCATCACTAGGGATTGTGGATGGGCAACCACTCTCTATATGCAATAGTATTATCGAGATATAAATAAGGTGACAAGATTCAACTAAATGAAATATAACTGGTCACGCGTGAAAACCATAATTATATAATAGTCCAGGAAAACATTGAGGGCCCAAAAATGTTATAGGGGCTCAAAAATGGGCCTTTTGGGCATAATCTGGCCTTTATAGGCCTTTTTGGACCAAATTATAAATTACCGTAAAAACGGGCCTTAAATTTGCAAAAATTGAGCCAATTTTTGGGTTATAGCGGCCCAAAATTAGAGGCGGAAATTATTTTGATGACTTTTGCACCACCCTGTTAATTTTTTCTGGATCCGCCAGGGTATAGCTTAATGTATTCAGAATTGTTTCGGTTGAGTCTATTAGGACCATAGTTTGAAGTGCGTTTACTTACAAGATAAAAGCTCCTGGGTACTGACTGAGTATAATCTTTGAGCAATGGCAAGGTCGATCTATGATAAAGGAACCACGGATTGGAGCAGATTATCTCCCAGATAAGACATTTACAAGGGAACGATGGAACAAGCCCTAATAGCTTTGCCCTGCGTCGAAAATTACATTTTGGTTTTATATTTGAAGCATGGATTAGAAAGAAATGACTAGAAGTTGCAAGAAATGAAATGAAGATACATGTAATACCCCTAGTGTCAGAGCCTTCCCTAGTTCAATTGGTAGGGCGTTAAAGTAGATGAGGCACTCGAAAGGATTTGAAAGGGTATACACATTGTTTTAAATGTGCAGAAATGGTAGGGAAATTGCGTGCTGGCATGATCTGTGTTGCGGATGGAGAGAGCTGTGGCTGGGGAATACTTTGCTTTTATTATTAAAGCACCAGATGTACCTCAAAGAAAATGCATAAGTATATAGTATATGTTCGGGTCTATTTGCTTTTTATTATGACCAGATTAAGGATCTATTGATGTGGATGAAGGAGATGTGTATTTGAAATGTTTGAGGTAACTCAGTACGTAGATATGCTATTGTTTTAAATTAACCGAATTCTGGAGTTCGTTTATGAATTGCTACAGCTGGATATAAAGAAATATACATAACTGTTAATAAACCTATAGATAATAGAATATTGAAGATACCTGTATCTGCTGTTTGATAGAATAATGGAAGATAGTCAAGCGAATGGAGAAAATTGTGCTATTAACTGCACGAGGGATTCTATTGGCCGTCATGATAATCCAGAACCAGCAGGACATAACTCAAACGGAACAGATGATACATCTCTATCGCAGAGACATGACAATAATAGTGATGGGATAGATCTTGATAGAATTGATGAAATTCGGGAAACGCATTTATTAAACGATTCTGATATGAATAACTCATGTCAGGAGCGCATAATGGAACGCGATACCACTGAATCAAACTTGTGCTGCTTTACTTGTCAAAGAAATCGTAAATCAAAAAGACGGAGAAGATTAAAGAACAATTGCTGTGGATTGCGACTGTGTTCTACGAGAAGACAAAATAGAGACGACGAATCATTGGATACGAGCGATGGAGATCGAGGGGACGCCGACGAGGTGGACATCTACGCGGTTGATCGAGAGCCAGTCCGAAAGCAGCTCTGTCGGGCCTGCTCGACCTTCACTTACATTCTCTTAGCGATTATAGCCATCGTTGTAACATACTCTATGATCGCTAACCTCATATCATCGTTGAACAATCCTGTAAGGTCGATACAGTTTCAACAGGTGAAACATTATGAAGCGCCAGGTGGGGATTATTTTCTTATGCATATATTTCATAACCTTGCAACACTTGCAATTTGTTTATATATTTTTATTTTGCTATATATATCAAATGTCATCTTGACTTGTGCAGTAACTCCAAGTTTCATACCAAAATTGATATACACGTCTCATTTATTTTAATCACTATGACATTGATAAATGATAAGATATTTTGACAGAAATTCTTCGCATTCTCTGAAACAGCTAAATAAACTCTTTCCCAAATCAAAAGCGGAAAAACAATACCCGTGACCACTACAAATACACGGGATAGAAACAATATATTCCTTTGATCGAGATTATGATGAAATATTATGACATAGATATCTCGACATCAAATTGAAACAGTCCTTTATCTATCATATTAATAATGCATTGACTTTGCACTTGACCGAATGTGTTGCTATTTGAATGTTACATAATCCAATAACTGTTTTTCCTTTACAACTGTCCTTGCAGCCATCTCTCAGGTGGCTCGCATACTACTATCTTGCTTGCGTCTCCATTTTGGTCTGCAAAATGAGCATGTGATTCGGTGTAATGGAATTAATGCCCCATTAGGATATAGACCTTATTCCATATACATCTAAATTGTCTCTATAGAATACCAATTACTACTTAAATTGCTGAGTCCATGGTGGCAGAAGAATAGTTCATCTTTTACATCCGAATTGGTCTTTTTCGGTATTATGTATACTCGCTATATCAGTTTATTGAAATTAAATTTACATACTTGTATGCAACTTATATAAAACTATATTTGCAAGGATGGAGAAAAGAGAGAAGTCTATCTTTAAAACAGTTCGTAGTTAAGCCTTAGTCACATTTGATCTACGGCAAACGTACGGCAACCATAGCTTCCAATAATCGAGAGAAATATGCAGCATAAATGTAGGGATAAGCTCTGTAGATTTTCTACATCGTTCTACATCATTTGTGTACGGCCGCCGGCCGCCATAGAGCAAATGTAAATGAGGCTCTACATATTTTGAGAAAGGATTCTGTTTTATCTTACGATCGAAAATCCTCAATCATGGACTTTTCTCTTCATTTTTACAAAAGTGTCAAAGACGAAAAGGTGCGCGTAATACAGAATATTATTTGAGAATACAAAATGTTATCTCTGATTCATCAATGCAAATTATGGTAATGTTTTTTCCATTAAAAAGCTTTTAATTCACACTATGTGTCATAGATCTCAGTGCTACTTTTATAGCCTATAGAATATAACAACATAACCTGTGTTATGTGAACACAAATTGGATCTCTTCATGATAAGGTGCGTGTTATATTGTGATCAGTAACTTGCATCCTGAAATCTTACAATAGTCTTAGCGTTTCCAGGCAAACTGAACAGAACTTGAAAAACAGTAAAACAACAGTAAAATGCATCTTGGTATGAAAATCAAGAACTGATTAGCTTATTGGCATTCTGGGTAAATCTAAAGGCGACCACTAGACCCCATGCAGACAGCTCGCCTAAAATTACATTCGTATAATGCGAGACTAGACACTCACAGGGAAATTAGAAAAATTGTATCACCCATGAAGCAAATTAATTTTTTCAGCTTTATAAATTGAGAGTTCTATGTATGAGAATAGCTCTACGTCTTGATATTTCAAGGTAACTCGTTTAAATAGTGATGGCGGTGATTGAAATTACGATGTAAAGATAAAACCGCGGCGAAATATTTGTAGATTTCTTTGAAAAACTACCAGGGGGAAACGGACCTACAGGCCTTACAACTTGTACATGTTTTTTTGTGTTTCGGAAAATTCTATATGTGATGTATGATTTTTGGTTCTTCAAAGAAATCTACAAATATTTCGCCGCGGTTTTATCTTTACATCGTAATTTCAATCACCGCCATCACTATTCAAACGAGTTACCTTGAAATATCAAGACGTAGAGCTATTCTCATACTTACCCTACTATCACACCAAACTAGTTCTCACTGCGTTCTCGAAAACGGGCTTCAACTGTGTACGAACGGACTGGACCTACTAAGAACCGTTTGGGATCTATTTACAAACTTCATCGAACGTACTCGAACGGGTAGGACCTCTAGAACTTAGACAATGCTCAAAATGTTCTCGTGGTCGTCACGTTCTACAATTAGAACGAGTGACAACGTACTAACGACGAGCTGGACGTACTACGAACGGAGCCGTCGTACTTCAATCCTACTAGGGACGTTTTAACAACGAGTTGAACTGTCTGAGGACGTGTTGATAACGAGGTAGAACTAATTGCAAACGGGTTTAAACTGATTAAGAACCTATTTAACACTGCTTATGAACGAGTTATCAAAAATATAGCTATCACACCAAACAAGTTGCCACTGCGTTCTTCAAAACTGGTTTTAAACTGTGTGCGAACGGAATGAACGTAGCTGCAACTTTCTAAGGTCTATTTACGAACTTTATGAACGTTCTCAGACGGGAATGTGATTTTAGAATTTTGAATCGATTCAAAATTCGATGGCGACCATACCGTTCTGTAATCAGGTCATGTTGACCTTCTAGACTAAGGGACGCGTTCTACTGCGTTGCACACCGACGTGGTGCGACCTGAACGAACTGCGAACGAGATGGACGTATTGAAGACTGTTTAAGAACGAAGAAGCTAATTATTTCAGACATATTTCCCGACCACAGCCAGATTGAGCCCGTTTTACGACTTTTTCGTAGGACTGGCAAGAACGGGTAAGAACTAGTTTGGTGTGATAGGGGGGTTAATTACAGATGGGGTGCACTAGTATGATCACTAATTATGATTGGATCAGAACTCGCTTCCAATAAAATCCTTACAGAATATTTATTGGTTTGAATCAAATACGCCTCGCTGAAATGTCTGATCATAATTTGCCCCGGAATTTCTTTAAATCATCCATCAGACCTGAGACGTGTTGCCTTGAAATGCGTAACACTCAAGATTTCAGGAAGGAATCATCCGGAGATAGTCAGGACTAGGACCAGTCATTTGATATTTGATATCATTGATAACATCTACCCATTTTTGTAAAAGGTTCTTGTCAAATTAGATGAGCCGACTGGCTTTTTGGGTAAATCTTAGAAAAGAAAGATCTTCTAATTTACATTTTTAGTGACAAAAATGCCAATTTTAGAAAATTATTTTTTTGAACATTTTTTGACAATTTCATCGAGACCATATCTGGACGGAAAACGTGATGTCTCTTAAGCTGTCGATACTACACAACTACACTAATAGTTTTTTTCCCTTGGACATCCTTTCTACACATAAAAATCATGAAGATTCCTTAATTATTGAGACAGTTATTCCAAAATTAGTGGATGGCATTTTTTGTGTCACCCTGTAAGTTATAAAAATAAGGATTTTGTGAACCCGTTATACTTTTCATTTAAGTGAGTGACGAAATGTGTCTGGAAAATTATTTCATATTACTTATTTTGCATGTTCGTTTTTTAATTCTTTTTAGATTTTAAATCATGATTAAAATCTTGGTTCGCTTGCGTTTTTAATTGATGTTAAATACAAATGTGTTTCCTTATCTTCGTTTAGTTTTAAAATTCTACAAACAAATAATTGCCAAAGTTTTAAAAACCATTAGCTGCAATTATGATATAATTGTGTACCTCGTTTCCAAAAAGCGCATGCTACGAGATATCTCAGCATCTACAATATTCAACATTCAACATAGATGGTCCTGGAAATATTCTAAAGTACTCAAAATTATTCAAAAAGTGCTCAAAGTTTGTCAATAGAATGAAGCAATAAAATAAGACAATAGAATACCACGTGTTTCCCTGAATTGTTAGTTACGTTAGAGTCAATCAACACCGTACTTGCTAATAACCGCGGTTTTCATGTGGGTACATATGCGGGTACATGTTATAACGTCATAGAACCAGGTGTTTTGAACCCAATTATAACTTATACCTTATTATGTTATTAGAGTGACTCTCAATTGACCCCCTAAGTAGATTTTGTGTACAACACTGCTAATAAATGAACTAAATTTTGAAAGGTATGTTTTTCTCTAATCTAACAGTGTTAGTAAAGAAGGCTCCTGGGCACAATTGACTTTGTTCTTGGCCTCCAGTTCTTAAATCAAGAGCTTTAAAAGGGTAGATGATCTCGGGCAAGGCTATCTGTTAGCCTGTTATTTCAACTCAATTGCGATCTCTAACAGAACCTGCGTTTGAGATTTCAGATTATTTTTCAATCTATGGTATTTGATTTCTATGATGTACTAATCTGATGGAAGTATTCGCTTTTCAAGGATTTCTGTTCCAAAGCTTAGACCGCATGACTATTTGTATTCTTCACTCATTTTTCTTTATATAACACATCGTTGAAATTTTCCTCTTCGTATGGGTTATCTGTGAAATCAAATTAGGCGTCATAGCATTAGTAGAGTCTAAACAAAAATGACCCTTCCATATTGAGACTTTATATAGCATTCGCTAATTCAACTGCCGGCTCACGACTGCCGGAGTATCCTATTATGGCCAACTCATTTAAGTATGAATAGTACCTGCTACTATTCTATTCATATTTAAATGAGTTGGACTTAGAAAGGTTAAACCGTCAGTGGTCAGTTGACAATTCGAGAATGCTACCTCTGCTTACGTCTTGTTTTTTTCGTTTAAATTGTCCATTGTGTAATGGTGTAAACACGGTCGCTGCGCTCCCTCGGTCAATATCATATTGTTCCTCGGAATAAAACCCACATTCAACCCCTCTCAGTAAATAACCTATATGAATCATATTCAGTACAATACTAATTCCAATTTAACACTATTCCATTTCACTACCTCAGTCCTAGCCATTTATTTAAACAGATCAAAAGTTCTCAATTCCATAATGGATTCATTATGTCTTTCTCCTTTCTATAAATCATCACTGAGGCACATACTGACGTAACTATGGAAACAATGCATTCAGAACACACAAGGGCCAACTATTAGAAAATCATAATCGACCTCTGTTGTCAATTA